AGGAGACCTACGAAACCCAACATGCGGCAAACGGATATTCCGGTTACACTGCCTCTTTAAAGTGAGTCGTCTTAACGTTGTTGTTTGGTCCCTTTAGGCAGTTATTTTCCCGACGTCGTGGATTTAAATGTAGTGCGCTTATTAGGCGGCGGAGATAGCCTTGTGTACGTCACCTATGACTTAGATACCGCACTATACACAAACTGCAAATTGAAGCTCTGGTCAATAGGAGGGTTCTGTAAGGAGTCTGTGCAGGGTTGTGACTCGCGACCTTTGTGACTTAGGCGCTGATAGAATGCTTCTGGAGATAATTCCGAAAATAGCAACTCCTGTGGGCGAATGGGCAATTACAATGACAAAAACAGTCGAGAGGGACATGATGCTACAACATAATGATAACAATAATACAGGTACTAGATTTTGAGGAAGAAGACACGATCTCCGGGACAAGAGCTTTATTAGCCTGACGTTTCGGATTCCTGCTCGAATCCATCATCAGAGACATAAGCAGATAAGGGTGGTTCATGCACATGTGGCTGCAGTATTTATAGGATGCAGTAGCCATGCCACCGCATACCTATGAATGTTCACGGCTCCCTCCCCTTCATCAGGGATCGTTGCACGTGGCGTGATGGTCGATATTCGCGTCGTTAATTGCTGAAATTTCATCACGTGGGTTGGATGTTGGTGTGATGCTTGCTCGACCATCTGACGTGCTGACCCGGGTGTTGGGAAGAGTGTTCATCCGGGGCGCTCCCCGCGTGGCCAATTTCTCCGCCTAGACGAAGTCTCAGCACGCTGTATTGAATGGGAAGATCATTGCACTTGTTAATAGACTGGGGGCCAGTGAACCATGACTCAAGCAGCTCCCGGATCACGCGGTTGTCACCTCTTGCGAGAATTTCGGCTTCGTCAAATTTGAATGTGTGGCCGGAACCCGTCGAATGAGCCGCAACTTGAGAGTTGACGTCATTTCTCCGCACTGCTGCAGCGTGTTCGGCCATTCGCGTTCGGAGCTGTCTTCCGGTTTCTCCGACGTAGTCGCTTTGTCCGCAACTGCACCAGATCCGATAAACGACTCCAGACGTTTCTTGCCGTGGCAGTGGGTCTTTTGGTTTCATCAATTGACGCCTGATGGTTGCCTCTGGCCTGTGTGCAACTCCAACCCCCAGCGGGGCGAGAAGGCGGCCAACAGCTTCCGAAACGTTCTTGACATATGGAAGCGCTCGCCAAACTTTGGTGTCCCTGCGGTTAGGCCTTTCGTCCATTTTGCGTATGCATCGGTTGACAAAGTTGCTCGGGTAGCCATTGGCTTTGAATACCCGTCGGAGGTATTGTAGTTCAGCAATCTTGTCTTCCGGCTCACTGCAGTGTGTTTCGACACGCCGATAGAGCGTCCTTACACAACTGCGTTTGTGACTGATTGGGTGGTTGCTGTTTAAGTTCAGTACTTGCATCGTATTTGTCGCTTTCCTGAACACTTTGGTCTTTAGTCCACCACAATCCTTGTGGCATACGAGGACATCCAGGAAGGCCAGCTGGTTGTTCTCTTCCTCCTCCATCGTAAATTGTATGTCCGGGAAGACCGCATTCAGACGTTCCTTGAATGTCAGCAGTTGATCCCGATCGATAACGACGAAGGTATCATCCACATACCGGGCCCAGAACGTCGGTTTGTGGTGCTGGAAGACCAGCGACTCTAACCGTTGCAGGACCGCCTCGGCGATGAATCCCGAAATCGACGAACCTATTGGTGTGCCCTTCACCTGTTCGTAGATTGTCCCGTCGAACGTGAAGTACGTCCTGAGACAGAACTTCAGGAGCTGAAGGACTTGAGCGTGTCCAAGACGGTTCTCCGTTTCATCGTATTTGCTTTGTAGAAGCAGCTCGATTGTCTCGATCGCCAGGTCCTGGGGAATAGAAGTAAAAAGGGATGTAACATCAAAAGATACCATGACCTCATTTGGATGGAGGCTTACCCCTTTGAGTTTCTCCAGGAATTCTGCTGACGAAGAGACCGTGGTGTCTGACTCAGCGGTCAGGAACTTGAGACGTCGGAACAGCCACTTAGCCATTCCGTACGTTGGAGTACCTTTGAGCGACACGATGGGTCGGAGAGGAGCGCCGTCTTTGTGCACCTTAGGGGGGCCATAGAATCGGCCCAAAGCCGTATCTTGGGATCTCGCCATGCGTCTGTCGGTCGGTGTTATTGCACCTGAGTTCTCCAAGGCCAACAACGTAACATTGATTTCGCGTGTCAGCGCTTTTATAGGGTTCGTTGCACATGGGACATAGAACTGTCGATCCTCCAGCAAACCTTTGGCTTTTTGAAGGTAGTCTGTCCTGTCCAGCACAACCGTGGAGCGCCCCTTGTCCGCTGGCACGATGGCCAAGTCTTTGTCGGCCTTGAGTTCTCTAAGCGCATCACGTTCGACCTTGGAAAGCACTTCCCGCGGCCTGTGGACCCGGTAATAGATCCCTTTCTTAAAGAAAAATCGGATGTAATATAGGCAAGGACTGAATATGTAAGCCTGCCAAAAAGTGCAGAATACGGATGGCCAGGTGGGCGCGACGCTTAACAGAATCTGCACAAGACGTTGAGGAAACTGCCTGCCGCAGGCTTCGCAGTCGCGCATTGTAAAAACGTTTTACGTAAACAAATATGTCACTGACAAAATATTAGTAAGGTGTGCATTTATATTGTATTAATAGGGTCATCAAGGGCATTGTATTTTACCCTAAAATACACTATTATAAAACTGACATTCCTGATTACCGAGGTGCCGGAACAGACCGCACAGTTTGAAAGGTACGAATTGGGGGCGGGTAAACAAGTAGAAAACAGGCAACCCACGAATTTGGCTAAAGAAGGTCGGATTAAGTAAAACGGTATGCGTCGAGAAAATTAACCCTGACTGTAACCTAAAACCCGGTCCTCTTCCTAACTGTAATCTTTAACCTAACTCTAACCTTAACCACAAAGTTGATTATTATCTTAACTTAAACCAGGAATGTAAACCTGATTGGGCATGCCTACTGAGTTCAAATAAGCGGCTACGTTATGTTCATGGGACACGGGTCTAAGTATTCAACCCTTATCCTGGGATATTGTGCGAATGCCTCCAAATGCGTCAATAAAGAAAAATGAAAGGTAGGACTTACACTGCCGTCTCTTTCAGAGAAAAGAGCTTTACTTTATATGCGACTGCATAATAATAAATGAACTAGAAGAAAAACAACGTACAATCCAATTGGGGGATGTCTGAGGTGGTGAGATCGCCTAAGCGTAATCAAAAGTGGATAGTTTTTTGTTTACTATCAATAATTGCTAATATAGCTCAGGTCTTGTCATCATAAATTCAAAAAACTACTGAGTCTAAGGAAAAGAGGAAGTCAAAGACGGAAATGTTTAAAATTGTTTAAATGTTTTTATTCCTCTCCGAGTGTTGTGGTCGGAGTTTGATCAAGACGAAGAAATTGAATTTGATTATCTAGTGTTAACTCTTGCCAAGAATGAACTCACTTTTATATTTCCCTCTGTAGAAGGCTCACGGTCATCCTCTTATATTTCAAATGAATTTTAATACTTGCTTAAAGGAGAACGTTCCTCTGTGTCACGGCTCTCGAAAGTGCTACCTTCGTCAAGCTGGCTATATTAGGAGTAAAATCCGTGAAAAACTGATAAAGACACAATAGACGACGTCCAACAAAAAATTTATGAGTGCAAAAGCGCCTCATTCCTAAGAGTTTGCCATTGAGTGTAACAGTAGATTCGAACTTTGGACACGAGATTTAGCATCCAAAATTGCACTTGAAGAATATCGTCCATCACCTATTGCAACTTGTAAACTACGAGTACAAGAACGCCAAGACGTCTATCTTTGGCTAGGTTGCCGATATCAACCAGTGATGTACCGACTCCAGGTGCTTGCGCACCCAAGCTAGTTAATCATCGAGCAACGCTCTCACTGATGGCACCTCGCGATTATTTATTGCAGTCGCCATGCGACCGCGTGCGTTGGTTTTAGCGCCAAGCTTAAACGGAAATGCCCATTTCCATCCTGTAATCAGAATAGATCAGTAGACGCCACTTCCATGTGGTTCTTTTTAGTTAATATTTTTGCGCATGAAAGTAAATTGAAATAAGTGAAGTATATAACATTATTTAAATAGAATCCCTTATCAATCCCTCTCTCTGTTGTTTTGCACATTATCGAAAACCTTATAATCACTTTAAAGACGAAATAATTTAATGAGCAAACTAAAATCAGAGGCAAATTTGTGTTTTAATAGGAGTTTGACTAAGTAGACAGTCATAAAATGCTTTGACTACCCAAGTTAATTTTATTTTTACCGGTTAAAATTACAGAAAACAGGGACATCTCAACTGCTTTTACTTTCGTCAACATTAAAATGTTTATTTTCGACACTTTGGGACTAAAATAAAAATGCGAAACACAAACTTGGCATTTTAGTTGGCACTGGCTTAGGGTGAGTGTTGCGAGTATAGATTCACTTAGGTGATTATTCGAAATGACCTATAAAATCGCTAATGAACGTAAGTCTTCGCGAAGGGGCACGAGTTATCGCACCTGTTAAGTGCTTTGCAAACTTCAGAAACAAGATGATTTACTTCCAGGGCTGACATGGGTTTTAAGAAAACAGAATTATCCCCGTTAGCATCTAAGTTGCCGGATGTTGTTTCTTTTAACAGTGAATGTTGTTTCCAGAATAAGGGGTAAGGTACTGCCTTAGCCTTCGCGTTTATGGCCCATAGCTTCTGATTTAATACGTCATTTCTTGTTTGCGCCATTTAACATTTACCATTTACATCCGTTTAGTTGCTTCCAAAAGGAGCAACTTAAATGGTAGCGGTATATCCTCCTCAGTATATACTTAATGAGAGAATAACAAAATTAGGATAACAGGAGCTACATTGAAGACTTTTCCGTGATTGAAATATATCGAATAAATTAATATCCAAGATTCTTGACGGATTACATGATATAACTTCTCTTTGGATCGAATGGTGCCTAGAGGATACCGGATAACCGTCCGCAAAGGTTTTTTTGTTAGAAGCGGACCAACTGACCGATTAGGTTTCCCTACATGTCTTCAGTGCTATTCTTGATTCAATATTCCCTTTCTTTTGGCGGCTGGGTTCAAAACTACAGCGTCCGGCAATAGTTGTTCAAAAAGGAAATGCATATGCCCGCTAACACTCCTAGGTCATTTTCTGCCTACCTAGTTTGCGTTTTAAAGAATCCGACTTGTCGAATCGGCTTTCTTTGCTAATCCATAGTGAGATTTCAATACACGGTAGCGTAAACAGCTGTCATAACGGCAACGAAAGTCCCAGTGTTGCTTCCTTTTGTTCACAAAAACGGAGCTTTGCATGAATTTATCTTGTGATTAGTTGTACAGTTTTCACTTGCCTAGTTGATAATACTTTGCTTCAAAGGTGTACAGTCTGCTAATTACATCTTAAAGTGCAATATTAACACTGAAGCACAATGCTTACTAGCGCACATAGATCAGACAGAATCTTCACTTTTAAATGATCTGTGTTTGTAAAAATACGTAACGTAGGCCCATGACAAGAAAAACGGAGACAACGTAGGTCGCTGGCTGAGTTTTCCCGTAGCTGATGGGACGATATTTTAAGAAAGACTGGACAGGATTGACTTATGTGGCGCTGTAAACGGGTCATGTGAAGAGGAATGCTCTGCCCAAGTAATGAAGTTGGATCTGCGCATAATTCCGGAAAGGGAAAAATATTCGCACGTCCTAATATAAGAACAAACCGTTGTCCTAATCTTACTCTATCCCTATCCAAATCCTTAAATCTATCATTAACACTAACCACTACCTTGACACTAAGTTTGGTCGTGGCCTCAATTACTGTTAACTTTAAGTATGATAGTGGGCGCTCACCGATCAGGTTACGGAACATGCTCGTTCCGTTGTGCCTTTGGGCTCATACTAGAACCCTCGCAGGCAGTCGCACAGCGACTAGTAGTAGATATAGATGAGATGGTACCAACAAAGACAAGGGAGACCGGAATGGCCATTTCTGGCTTATTAGCCGTCATCAGCCAGTCATACTCAACCCCAAGTGTGGATCACTTGAGATTCGAACCCGGGATCTGTCATAATTGATATTCCCGATCACAACCGACAGGACAACGGGCCCGTGGCTCAATGGTAGAGCGTCAAACTCCATGACCAAAGATCCCGGGTTCGAATCTCAAGTGATCCACACTTGGGGTTGGGTAGGACTGGCTGACGACGGCTAATAAGCCAGAAATGGCCGTTCCCGTCTCCCTTGTCTTGGTCGGTACCATATCATCTACTGTTAACTTTAAATCTAGCCTGGAACCTTGTCCTTCAAATAACCCTTACCTTAAACCCAACCCCGATTTCACTGGGACTTGACTAAAAAGCACCCGTGTTGCAGGCGGTTCCTATTCTCGTGTCCTGTTTGGGGGGGAAACAAATATGCCAGTCCTACCCTACATTTATTATACAGTACGTGACCTATCTCAAGAAATCTGGAAGCGGAAACTGATGAGAGAATTTCTGGACGCCTTTAACGTTAACATTTTGTTCGCTCATCCAGTTACCTTCAATAAAATGTCCTTTTCTTGTGCAGAAACTGTGTTAATGTAATTATATTAAGTAAAATATCAGTAAATTTTAGCGAAAATGAACGTTGGGTTATATTCGTGCAATCTCCTAGGCTAATACATGTCTTAGACTCCGGTTACGTATCTGAGCCTTTTTTTCATTGATAGGATTGTAATTTACCCACGAGAGTTTTAATAAAAAGATTTAGCCAAACTTGAAATTTTATTTGAAGTCCGATGTTAACCATGTTGATCAACCTACTAACACAAAGGTTATTTTAAGAAAACCAGAGGTTTTATTAATTCCTAAATGTCAAGTTAGCATATCTGTGCGATTTGGTGCTCTTAATTGCAGTAATAACGCAGATAGGGATTCCTTCGTTTAATTGGGCTGAAATTTTTTGCCGTTTGGAAAATTCTACCTGATGCCACATATATGACCACCACAGAATGGTCATTTCCAGCTTTAAGCATATGAAACATTACTTGTCGTGTAGTTTAGCTTCTGTGTATATCTCATTTTAGAAACAGACCGAGCAAAACAGTAATAACTTCAGCAAAATATCAGTATTTATATGGGCCCTCTGCCGTGCATTCATAATCGAAGAACGGAGTCCAAATGCGAGCAAAAACAATGAAAATGGTCTCAATATAAAAAAGGCATGTTCTTACTTTCACGGTAGAAAAATATTAGTATTTCTCAGGAGCGTGAAAGAAACGGCCAAAAGTGTCAAATTTTTACTTGGCCTCACCGTGCAAAAATGCGAATTACACAGAGATCCGGCAACGGATTGCAGTAATAAAGCACTTCTTAAAGAGGTAACTTACGAAGGAAAGTTTTTTTTGTTGATCAAAGGCATATTGGTTGCTGACGTTCGTTGTGGACAGACACTTTTCTCGAAAATGAAGTTTGATGTTTGAATGAGTCTTCACATGTGACCCAAACGACCGTCTTTGTGAAAAGGAGCGCCCGAACACTCATCAATTCGGTAAATGCTTTCAAGAATAAT